CACACACACACACACACACACACACACACACTGGCAGTGTCGTTGCAATATGCGTTTTTGCTGCCTGTTGCACGGCAAAAACACATAAAAACTCGGCTCGGCTCGGTTCGGTTCGCCTTGGCTGATGATCGATGGTGTTTGGGGAGCGCTCTAGCATCTTTGCCAACACTATTTCGCAGCGCCGCTCACCGGAACGGCTTGGCACTTTGCCAGACGCGCTGGGTAGCGCTACCTAGTGTCTGGTGGTTGGATCGCGTGGTTGTGGGTGGTGGGTGGGAGTTGGACGTGGTTGGTGGGTGTTAGGTGATAGGTGGCCAGATACAGCTCAGTGGGCGCAGCTGAGGCCAGGATAGTGAGGAGGAATGACGTTGCTCTTCAGGAGTTCAGAGCGATAAACGGTGACAGTGGTTGGGGGTAGTGGGTGATGGGTGCCCTGATGCGGCACTGGAAGGCAGGGATTGGGAACAAGATACAGAAGGGGAACAAAGCTGCTGGTCAGGAGTTCGAGGCAAGAACTACAGACAACAGTACAGAGAAAAATAAACTAACACAGCAGTACGAAGAAAAGTAAATTAAAACAAACTTGAACTTGTGAATAAAAGGAAAGAAAGCAAAATCAAAGAATTGGAGCCTATAAACAAAAGCAAACAAAAACTAAGCTTATGCGAGCAGGAATTGTCTTATAAAAACCCATCTTTAATAAGCGGTTTCCGCATTTATGAAGTTTTTGTTTATGTGAAGCTGAGGATAAATAAGTTCGACAGGACTTACTGAAGCTTACGCTTAGGCGAAGTTGAGTGTAAATAAGTTCGAATAGATTTACACAAGAATTACACACAATTCCATAGCGTTGCCTCCCGCAGCATGCAGCTGTACACAACAGCTATACCTCTATTTTTTTGCTTTCAAAATCTCACAGGAACGGAGGTTGACTTCATCCCCCTGCATCCAGTCTACTCTGCTTTTGTTCACGTCATGGAACTTATTCGCCCTCAACCTTACCTAAGCATAAATTTCATAGATAGAGAAGTCCCTTGGTAATGACGAGTTTTTTAAACAGTTTCCACTAGCAAGACCTCAGTTTCTTTTGCTTTTACTCATAAAGTCAGATTTGCTTTACTTTTATTTGTGGCGCTGTGTTTTTTTCTCTTTACTGCTATCTTCATTTCTTGCCTCGAGCTCCTGACTTGTATCTTCGTTCCGCTTCTCTACCCGGTCCCAAATCCTGCCAGCAAACAATATCTGAGATCCTGTCCATCCCTACTATAATAGCACTGTTCAAGCAAGCAGTATTTCACCTTTCCTTACCCCAGGTATCTACGGTAAAAACCAGGAGCATACTTCCTCATCCGTTCCGTTCATCACTGCTCTCCTCTCTGCTCCAAATGTACGTTACCTAGTCGAACGCAAAGGATCTACACCATTCAGTCCTTATATCCACCTATCCCAGCCCCCCTCCCGTACCTCGAATAAAATCCGCCACATACCACCTCCACTTCCACCTGCCACATACAAACTGCCGCCATCCGTCGTCGGACAGCCTTACCAGCCGTCGGAATAAAAAATTTTTTGCAGCTCGTGCTCTTTTGCAGCAATTTTTTACAGCTATGAGACGGCCGAGCTGAGTCGAGCCGAGTTTTTGTAATTGCTTTGGAACATATACAATAATTTTTATGCGTTTATTTTTGCAACTATGCAATGCAGAAAACGCATATTAACGAGGGGTTGTCTGTATGTCCGTGTATCTGTGTGTGCGTTTGTACCGATTTTTCATCTCAAGATCTATAAAAGCTACAGCGCTGAAACTTTGGGAACTTGACCCATATGCACGTACGGGCCCCAGTCCCCAAAATGGTGCCCTTACTCGCGTGATACCCACGTACGAGCCCGCGAAAGTTTTTTACAGGAAAGCTGCTAACTCGAGAATCAGAAATGCTAGAAGGCTAAAATTTTAAGGGGACATTCCCCGTCCAATTAGGTAATAATGAGCTCAAACCCAGCACCCGGGTATGCGTGGTACCCACGTACGAGCCTGCCAAAAGTTTTTTCGGGTAAGCTGCTAGCATAAGAATTTGAAAAGCTAGAAGACTGTAATTTTAAGAGGATATTCTCCGTCCACTTAAGTCGCACTGAACTCAAGGTATGCGTGGTACGGGGGCGCCAAAATTTTTTCGGGTAATTCTTAACTTGAGAATTCGAAAAGGTAGAAGACTGGAGTTTTAAGGGATGTTCTCCGTCCACATAAGTCTCAGTGAGCTCAAACCCAGACACCGGGTATTCATGGTACCTGCCAGATTTTTCTCGAGTAAGTTGGTAGCTTGTGGACTTGAAAAGCTTGAAGACTGGAATTTTAAGGGAACGTTCCCCATTCACGTAGGTATTAATGAGCTCAAACTTAGCACCCGGGTATGAGTTGTTCCCATGTATGGGCCCGTGAAAAATTTTTTCGTGTGAGTTGCTAACTCGAGAACCTGAGAAGCTAGAAGGCTGGAATTTTAAATGATGTTTCCTGACAGTTCTGGTAGCCAGTCTGAAATTCTTTTAGCTAGAAGCATCTGCCGGAAAAAACAGTGCCGTTAGCGACAAAAATTTGAGGAAACTATGCAAAAAATGCATCTTCGCACGGGCAGCCCGTGCGTTGGCCAATTTATCTGAAAAACAGACAAACACATTTAGCTAGTCGCCGGTGAATGTAAGCTTCTGCCAATTGTGGCCCGTACAAGCACTCGACAAAGTATCATCTTTTGAGGATTTTTGCACGAATGATGAATGGACGAGAGTGCATCCTGGTGTGGCCATATTTTTATGTATATGCGTGTATGTATGCGCATTAGTGAGTGATACCTCCGAAAAAGTAAATGATAAGGTCAATAAACAGCCACTAAGAGGATGCCCAGATTTGGAAGATTGCCTGTAGGTGCTAGATGTTAGGGCTAAAGTCAGGTTTTTTGGGCTGTATTTGATTGAGTAGACGTCCGAAAGTTCGGGTTGACACTGTGGTGCAATGAATACCCAGAATGAGGGAAGGGATAGTTTAAATAGAAAGAAAAAAGTCTATCCTTCAGAAGTGAAGAGATGTGAAATCTTTTGTCAGTAAGGAGATGGCACCAGACCGGAAACGTTCTAAAAAAATTGTTTGTGAGAAAACGGGATTAAAACAATGCCGGAAGGTGGATGGGAATGTAGGAGATAAGGAGAGGATGGGAAGTAGTTTATTGTAATGACTCATGCAACAGGAAAGATGGAATTTCACATAAAAAATTACTGTCGCGTATTTATGGAACAGAATAGGCTAGGAACTAGAAATTTTAATACTTCATTTGATTGCACGAGATGGATTTAACAGCTCAAAATTACTCTTACTCCTGATGCATGAGGTCCGTATTCAAAAAGTACTAATAGCAAAAGCTCCCGGATTAATCGATCTCTTCGTGTGCGGGATCAGTCAGGAGATCTTCAGAACAAATTCTCGCATCGACTCAATGATGCCTTTGAGCGAAAATACACTGGTGCTCTGACCATCTCGTGCATCAAGATAGTGCTCGTCACATCTAATTTGGAAGCAAATTCTTAATGGATCTGCAGTGAAAGACCTGCGAAATGAACAAATCCGTGCTTGTATTTCTCCGACAAAAATTTTGTCATCCTTTTCCTTTCACATAATGCTGTTGTGTGTAATGCGCCTGCATGCATTTGAGCATCCGTTTTTGTCGCCCCGGCCGCTCTCCGCGCACCCCAGTTCTTTCAGACCATTCAAATACGTATGATAATAGTAACCAGAATCAATGCGTCACAAAACTTCCTTTATTCTTTGCGTTCACGCCGCTGATCAAAGAAGAAGGCGGAATTTCGTTTGCGGCGAGTGGAGGAGGTTGTTATCCGAGCAGCACTCTTCCCCTCCTTTCCTCTTCGGTTGGCTCTCCCCTAATCCCAGCGAGTACAACTGGGAAGAACGCATGGCTGGCTCGCTTCGAGTGCCAAACGGCTCGTCGAGCCACCTAAAACGGGTTGTACCCGGTCGTAAGCGAACGGCGCGCGAACCACTACTTCCTTGCTCCCTTCCTAATTCTTCTGGTCCTCTGACGCACCCCGAGCGCACCACCATAAACCACCACCCAGTAATCCTACCACCGCCACCACCAACACCAACGGCACACATACAGCGGCGGATCGGCGTTATCGTCATCTTCGTAAATTGCAGCTGTCGCTGTGGTCATCCGGTGGCCAGCCGATAACACCGCCTATCTGTGTCCATCGTTGTTTCTTTGCACAACGTCATTCTGATTTTTATCACAATAATTATGTTATCATAATCGCCATTACCATAATCACATTATTAGCGCCAGCACTGCTCTCCTCTGCTCATAAATTTCCACGTATTTCTACGTATTAGATATATTACTATTGCATACATGCATAAACACACATACACACACACACATACGTATATGTACACACATACACTTACATACACATACATGCATGCACATACACACATATGTGCTGTACACATCTTCACTCATTTGCATTATCATATAGTGAGTATTGTTATCTTTGACGTGCGATGCATGTGTTGACATTTTGACTTGTCCAACATATGCTATCTAAATTTCAAAGTCAAATCTTACTTGACTTTGTGGCTTCGACTTCGTGCAGACAGCGAAACAGAATTCTAGGGATTCAAGTCTGCAGGATCTACAGTTCCAGAATCGGAATGTTAACCCTATTTGGGCTGGTTGTACACTCGCTATTATATTCAAGCTAAAAAGCTGTTTTTTGTGTTTGTATTTTTTTTCAGTTTTCAAATTTTGCTGTTAAAATGAATTTTGCCCTGTGGTTTCGGCACACAACTACCGAATGTCACTTGTTCGTTTTAGATCTCTGCAAAACAACGAAGATAGTTTTGAAATTCCAGCCTCCTAGCTTTGGTAGATTGCACTTGAATATTCGAACACACAGTATAGCTGCAGTTATAATCATACTACAAAGCGTTCTGACGCATTTCTATTGAGGATTTTTGTGCAGAAAGGTGTAATGCCCACAATACACCGGACGTTTTTTAAATTTTGTTTGTCCTTAACCAGGCGCATTTTGAAGTTGCACCTTTTTCTTAGACATTTCCGCTGTGCTGAAAGGATTTCCTCTGATTCTGAATCGTAGCAAACATTTTGTTCTGATTTCTCACTGCAGTTAAATATCAGCAGGTTCCGGGAGCAATGCCTGCAGGGTATTTGCAAATCCGGCCCATAGAGGCATCCAGTGCTCTCACATCTCGCTCTTCAATCTTCCAAAATTTTGTTTTAACGTTTTTATGCGTTTTTGTGTGTATACCAATGCAAAAACATATTTTTTCGACCCGTGCTGTGCGTG